ATGTTTTAGCGACGATGTTTTTCAGTGAGACATATTCAATGTGTTATGTCTGTTTGTCTGTGATCTAGGTAATACCGTCAAGAGCTGAAATTTCTCAGTTTTCGTTGTATCTTCTTTAGAAAACTTTTCTGTTAGCTGTTCAATAATTTCATTAAAATCGTCAAGTTTGTCATCATCTAGTTTTGCTTCTGCATTAAGTACAAATATGTGCCTTCTAACGAGCTTTCTAATTCTTTGATTAATTTCATGATATTTTTTCACAGCATAATTTACACAACTCATTTTTTATTGCTGATGTCAAAATACCAGATATAGATTTGTTGAAAAGTTCAATATTAACGCTTTGCGAATATTCGCCAACATTAGGGTCGATTGTTTCAAGCGATGTTATTGATGGTACAGTTACTTAAGATTCCTCACTTGAAACATTCATGTTGATATCTTGTTCATCGCAGTTCGATAACTCGTCGCTACTTGATAGTTCAGTACGTTTAGAAAGCTGTATACGACTGGAATCACTGTTAAATATATTGTTACATATAATTTACTGTTAAGTTGATTCTGTTCTGCAAAACCCAGATAAACTAATTTCTGTATATTAGTATCCGTGAGATTTTGGCAATTTTTTTAGCAAACTTTTTTAAACACGTTTATGCACTTATAATGAAAAGTATTCATTCTTACTACCGAAGTGATCTTCTGAATTACTGAACTTAAGCAGGTCACTTTTACAGATACACAGCGAATTATATTCTAATATTGATAACGTGTCAGATTTGGATTATATATGACCGTAGATAATTCAAAACCAACCCACTTGGTACCATGAATTGCTTAGTAATAGATAGTATGTTAGCATTTTAGCAACAAGTTTATACCTATGAGGTGCATGAAAAAAGGTCGTTGTTTTATTTTTAATTTAATATATTGATGAGCCACCAAGAGCATTTTAATTGTAAAATTTCCTGATCTTTCCGAAAAAAATATTGTCGGAACTGGAGAACCGTAAAATACATTTAAAAATGGCCAAAAGCTACCAACATATTACAAATATCCACTTTCAAACCGCTACATATCTAAAACGGTGTGACTTAGAAAAAAATTACTCTGGTGCTTTTCAATTGTAAATTTGGTGTACTTCCATTATATAAAGTCAAAACAGTAATTGGACCAAATTTTGGATATTTTTCCAAAAACTTGAGGTTTTTAAAAAATCAGAACTTTTTTGTTCATTATTTCTCCATTTCGACCTATTATGCAGTAGATGGCATTTTTGTCCGAATAAAAAAAATACAGAAAATCTTTTTTGGAGAAAAAATGTTTTTAAGACTTTATTTGAAATTCAAAAAAAAGTTGGGTAAATTTTTTCAGAGTGCACATTTTTTCAAACAGAAATTCTCATATAAAAAATATTTTTTGTATGAGAATTTCGTTCGAAACGAAATACAGAATAGGGGTGAACATCTCTGATCACGCCTTCCTTCGGATGGGAAGTAAAGCCGTTGGTGTGGAAGCTGCCTTTCTGGCACGTCGGTAGCATTGGTGCTCAGCACGGAAAACAAGATCGACGGAAAAAACAAACCAAAGGAAAAAAAAAATTATCTGCAATATTGCCCAAGTCACCAAACCGATCGAGCTAACAATTTTCTGAAGATAAGCTTGATATTTTCCTATAGCTTCTTTTCAAAAATAAGGCTGGATTCAAATTGGTGATATAAAGATGCAAAATGGCATTGTTGGTCATAAGGAACGTTTCTGCAAATTTTCATGCCGATGCCGATTCCGCATGGATGTGCGATGGTCGTCCGCGACGAGAAATGAACCTGCGGAGCGTAACCAGGAAAGCAGAAGTGGACAGTTCGCTTACTAACTCCAAATGCACCGCTTTTGTTGCGAAGCACACAAAGAGGCACAAATACGCTTTCGTGGGGGCAGCACGCTTGTGGATGGCCTTTAAGTAGAAGGGACCAGCGTAATCGACTCCTACTATGCTGAACGGACGGCTGGGGATCACTCTCGATGCAGGTAATTGGCCGATTTGTTGCTGGGCAGGTACCGGGCTCAGACGATAGCATCGGAAGCAAGCACGCACGACGCTTCGAACCAATCTACTTCCATCGATCGGCCAGAATTCCTCACGAATAGCTGCCAGTAGAGCACGCCCGCCACCGTGGAGAAGCTCTTTATGGTAGTGTCCCGTAACCAGGCGGGTGAAAGGATGCATTTTGGGAAGGAGGGCAGGATGTTTGGCTTGGTAGGGTAATTGAGACAGATTTAGGCGTCCTCCCACTCTCAACACTCTCTCGGAATCGATGAATGGGCTCAATCTTCGAAGGGGGGAACGCTTTCCGACTACTTGACCTTCTTGCAGGGCATGGATCTCGTTGGCGAAGGAGTCGTTTTGCGCCAGACGAGTCAATGTCGCTTTGGCTTCCGCTAACTCTTGAGGGTAAAGGCTGACGATGGTAGATTTGGGTGCGTTCGGTTGGGTACGGACTTTAGCGCGACAATTCGTGACGAAACGCTGACAGTAGGCAACAACGTGGAGAAGGTGTGTGTAAGAGGACCAGCGAAGGAACCACGGATTGATCGACGGTGTTGTCGTTACTGCTGCAGACACGGTTCGCACTTCAAGGTCCGCATCGGGTATGCTAAGCTAACCAATCGGGTCCGCTGTGCCAGAGCTTGTTCTCGATGAAATTCGCTACAGCCATTACACGTGACACCAGATTAGCAGGATTTTCACAGCCAGAGACATGCTGCCAAGCACAGCCTTGAGTAAAGTGCTGGATCTCGGAAACTCGGTTTGCGACATAGGTCTTCCAGTTGTTTGGAGGGGACCGAATCCACTGCAGCGTAATGGCGGAGTCTGACCAGAAGAACGAAGCAGAGATGTCGATATTGATTGCTTTCTTTATCCGGTCTGAGAGATGCGCTCCCAGAACAGCGGCGCAGAGCTCGAGACGTGGAACACTGACTCGTTTGAGAGGTGCTACGCGTGACTTTGATGCCAGAAGACAAATGCGAACCTGTCCTAGAGCGCCCTCACAGCGGGCGTAAATACATTTCGTTGTCCTCAGGATGCATATTCCAGTCACAGCTCCAAATTGATTCTGATTAAACGTCTTACGAGTGGTTTCTAAAAAACCATGGAACTCTAGGATCAGTTTCATGAATTTACCATTTTTACAGATGTTCCGGGTCTTCCGGAGTACCAGACTTGTGAATTTCCGGATGCAAAATTTTGCCACAAGGTCATATATGTTTTAAGAAGTTTTAAGAAGACTCTTGGAAGTTATCTTTTAAAATTATCCTACAATAGTAGTTAGTCCCCAATTAGTTCTAATCCCATATGGTGCGTGTGTTCGTTCATACCGGTTCCTATTGTGCGGTCCGTAATAACCGTGCTATTGGAATCTTGACTGTATTTGCTTATTTTCACGAGAGGAAAACCAAATAAAAATTTGTGTCATATTTTAATAGTGTGTATTTCAAATTATTATTTTATTTGATAACAACAGTGACACGTCAGACAAATGTTCATGTAAATTTTCACTATAGCATATGTTTCCGACTTTAGCTCAAAACCATGTTTTCGAAGATGTAAGTCAGCATCAGATTGCCCATTCTTTATAAATCAATAGACTAATCGCTTTAGAAGTCAATACATTCATCATAACATTTTTGAAGGTTTCCTTCATAGCAAAATCATGAATTGAAATTTTAACAGTTTTCTCTTCTATGCACCAAGATTATTTTTCAGGAGTCAGTAATTTTTGACTGACTTTTTGAACAACTGAAGGTAAAAGTTCAAATGAAATCAATTGAATGCGGAAATTGCATTTGTTGTCGTTTTATGAAGTTAACAGAACAATGCCTGTACAAATTTCGTACAATCAATAATTAATTTTTTAATTTTCTCAGCTTTTTCGAATCTCCCAAGAATTACCTTCAAAATTATTCAGGCACTACTGCTAAGTCCTACAACTCACTATTCAGATCCCCTGAACTCGTTCTAAAAATCCTTTGGATCGGATCCCAAAGTCTCCTGGATCTGCATTTAAATCATGTTGCCAAATAAAATACCCCTATAACAAACACAAAAGGAACACTTGACCTGGCCGATAGATTACACACTCAGTTTATTATGTATCTTCGGAGCCATCCACCTCCATTGGGTCAGTCAATGTGGCTCGGGTCGGCACCGGTACAAACCATTTCGGAAATAATTGAGATTGATTTTTTCACCGTATTCCTTCATTTTCCCGAGAACGAGAAGGGCAGTTCCGAGTAGGTGGCATAAATACAATACGATGTGTCCTATTTCAATCTATTTTGGGCAGATGGACTTTCATCGAGAAACAGAGTGAGTGTGTTTATTTATGTGTATGTGTGTAGGTTTGTGCGTCCTATCGTCTTATTGTATGTGCTTTCCTCGGAATGGTCTATGGCAGGCCAAGTCTGCAAATAATTTATTTCTTTCTTCAATTTGCAAAATGAACCGAACTAGGAATATTGGCTGCGAATGCCGTCCTTATGCGGAAAGTCGATTCGAACTAAAGCAATAAATTAGAGTAAGAACGAGATTTATTTCCTCCGCTCGAAGTCAGGCAATCTTTTAAGATGAACTGTGATTGTTTTTCTTTAAATGTTCTCATTGGGGTTTGAACAGAATATCAAATTAGGTGAGAGTGTTGAGTGGAAACAAATTAAATAGCTATCCTTCGTTGATACACTCTGCAGAACAGTTATTATTTCAAATAAATAATTACGCCAAATCTTCGCATACCTCCAGTCGATTTATGTGTTGCGTTCATTCCGGGGAAAAAGGATCAATTCTACCTCGAAAGAATTAAATTCCAATCTATTTAGTGCCATTCAATTATCATTAGCCTCGCCGGTAATGAACCCATCAGAGAGGAAGCGGGCAATATGGGAAACCACGTAGATTGCATGAATTTATTGCTATGGTTCTCGCGCGAAATTAGTCTCATCAATACTAATGTGCTCGGTCGACGGTGCGGCAAACTGCCAGGATGCGATTTATCACACGATATCCGCGTTACTGCGGATGCCATTGCGACTCTGATAGCCTGATGAAGGATCCCATAATCGATATGACTGCCATCAAAATGAACGAACTGATGGCACTTGTAGTGAAGAACCTTCGAATGGAATGTAACTGCGGTGTCGTAGTAACTGTTGATTGTCAAACCTTCGAGGTTCGTCCATTTATGATGTCATTGGAAAATTTATTGGTTGAGCAATATTTTCTGCATAAAACCGAAACTTGCTATCCTCTTTAGTACCTATCGTAGTATAAGGATGAGTCCTTGTTCAGTTTAGATTAGATGGCCCACTGAGATGTCATCGTTGTTTGTTAATGTATGAGGTAAATAAATCCATAGTGTTCTTCATCAATCTTTATCATGCTTCATCGCACAGTAATACACAGCTGTCATGATTAATGGTGTATTTTCGGTGATTCAAACAGCGTGCTCGTAATATTGACCTCAACGATAGGTTTCTTTTGGATTGGATAAGCTTATTCGTACCCCACCACACAAATGAACCGTTGCACGATAAAGTGGTACATTCCACTTGAGTAAATTTTACAGGAGACGCTATTATTCGAAATACTTGAATAATGAGTTCTGTTCGTCGAATTTCCAAGGTGATGAAATGTGATTACACTCAAAATAATGAAATTTGGCTGAGAAACTCGAAATTGTGTATACCTGATGAACATGCACCACTTTCACTGTAAACAAAATGTTACTGTAAACCAGAAAACGTTGAAAGATGCAGTGGTACACGTTTGTGATACTTCCAGCACGGGATATCTCGTGAACCTTTCCAAACCAAGTGATGGTTTCTTTCTTCAAGAATCACTAGGGGCCTTCACACATTGGTGCAAAACGGACCATATGGTCTGATATGCTTCTAAATGCTCTGTTATTTGCTTTGGGCACTGACGTTCAAAGATCAAGTGTCATACGTCGTTTCAAAAGCTTCGTCACAATTGGGACTCATTTTACGATTCGGCTAATATTTCAAGGATGTGCATTGCTTGAAGGTATTATATGGACTCGGTATTCATTCAACGAAGTATCTGACCTATTTGACTTTGACATCAATGCATGCAGATCTCGTCACCGTTTGCTGTCGGTCAATGTTGAATTTTTAATGAGTGACTTCATTTCAATTTATGTTCAATCAGTTTCAATAAGACTACCATTATTGAAACTGATTGAACTTAAATTGAAATGAAGTCACTCATTAAAAATTCAAAATTGAGCGACAGCAAACGGTGACGAGATCTGCATGCATTGATGTCAAAGTCAAATAGGTCAGATACTTCGTTGAATGAATAATGGCAACAAAGGAACTGTTTGTAGCATTTTTTTTCCCTGATTTGTTTTCTGTCGATCTTGTTTTCCGTGCTGAGCACCAATGCTACCAACGCCAAGAAGGCAGCTCCCACACCTCGACCCTACCTATCGACCCATCAACTCATGAACCGGGGACCAACGGCTTTACTTCCCGTGATCAGAGATGTTATGTCTCAGAACATCCCGGCGGCGCCGACTGGGATTGAACCCAGGCCTGCTGGGGTGAAAGGTAATCACGCTTACCACTACACCACAGGCGCCGCTGAAGCAACACCTTCTTTGCCTTAAAAAAAAAAATCTAGGTTTCCAGAGTGCCATCGTATATGTCTGCTCCTCGACAATTGTGGTCTGAAAATGACATTTACAGTATACCAACCCCAACATGCCAGAAGCCGAGACGCACCACAGAAAATTCACCCGATGCATCCAGATCCTCTGATCTAGTCCTGCCGAAGAGTGACGGCGTACACCATCATGATGAATCAACTTCTGTTTGTTTTCTGGGGTGCCCTGCCGTTGGCATCATGGAAGCCCCGAGATCCCCCCCCACCCACTACAGTTGAGCCGTTCCCGCCAGCGACCTGCAACCGTCCCGGCCCTGTGTGTGGGCCCTGGTCAAGGGGTCTTCCAACCACTCGTTTACGGCAAGTACGAACTCGTCCATGTGAATTCCACTCCGCTGCTTGGTTTCAGTTCATCTTCACTTTCGGTTATGGCCATCACGTCCAGCTTTTCAACGCCAGTTCCTTCACTGCCTGATAGTTCACCGTTCTCCCGCTCGGATCCTGGACAAGTTACCACTGACACGGCTCGCACCGAACCCTCTAGCAGTATACGAGTCTACTATCAGGTAGGGTCCAGGTGTGGGAGCTGCCTCCTTGGCGTCGGTAGCTTTGGTGCTCAGCACGGAAAAAAGGTCGACGGAAAACAAATCAAGGAAGAAAAGTTGTTGCTTACTGATTGTACTTGTCTACGGTTGGAGTTTGGAAGACCCCCTTTCCTATCTCAAACGCAGGGCTGGGACGACTGTTGAACGCTGGAAGCTGGGGCTTCCACAAGGCTAGTGGGGATTTTTTTTAACTATCGGACAAATTGGGCCGAAGGGTCTTCGACTTCTATGAAACTTCGCCCATAGGTAGATATATTAGCAAAAGTAAATTTCAAAAAAAAAAAAATCCGGGTTGGCAATTTTTACGGAAAAACTAAATTAAAGTTTTCCGATTTTCTCGGACAGTACCAACTTCAAAAAATCATAAATTTTGAACCAAGCATCGCACAGTCAAAGTTAATTAACAAAAATTACTTGAAATTTTTTCAACTATTCATAAAAGAAAATACAATTGGAAACAAATTTAGCATGGAGATTTTCACCATTAAAGAAAATCAAAAGAAAATCTGTGGAAATTATCGTCTGTATCATGGATTTTTATCACAACAATGTTTTCATGTTTGGAAATTTATAAGCTTTTTTCGGTGAACAATTCAAGATAGTATCTCATACCGTTTTTGACATATGCGTGAAAAGCTGATGACCGGTCTAGCGCTCTTCTTAAAAAAAAAATCAAATTATTCTTTCTACCCTTCTTAGCTACTGATCTATATTGTATTACAATCAAGAACCTTGACTTACTAAAACTGAAAATAATCCGTATCATTTATAGTTCTCTGTTGGTGATTGTTACCAGACATGGAAATAAGAATGCACAAGATAATGACGCCACCCGGAAAAAAATAACCATACAATTACCATAAAATAAAATACAGTTTCACGTAAATCTATTGCCAACAATCGATCTTATTGTGTGTATATAGTACACGAAGTTTTAACATATTGTTATTACAATAGATGTACAATAGGTCCCATATAGTAAGAGTTTTCAACAATAGAACAACAATACAATTAATGGTAAATGGTTCAAGTTTGTTCGGGAAAAAGTGATTTTTCGTATGGTTAAGATACATAACGACCCCCTTAATCTATTGTATATTCCCCCATTTACCATAGATTCTATTGTAGAAACAATACATTCTTTTGTTATTTAATCGTTGTCGAGAATACGATTTATTGTAAATACCATAAACTCTATTGTATGGTTACAATACATTTCATTGTACCTCTACAGTTCTTTTTTTTACGGGCACTCTCAACGAATATATACAATTACCTGGATGAAGTAACAAGCCTAACAAGTTTTTCAAAAGTCAAGCAATCTTTGCGGGGATTTATAAAAAAAATAAACCCCTGATTCAATTAATTTTTATTTATATTTCTTTGAGAGAGGTTGCACTAACTACTACTTATCTTATTTTCAATATAATCAACCGTTTTCTTGACACGAGAGCTTTGGCGAATGTTGTCGCTTGTACGTCTACTTTTTTTTTATGTAGAACGTCTGTGATTTCTATGTGTCGGTACACTTTGTGCAAAACGAAAATGAAACATGTAACAAAATGATGAAAGATTTTGAACATTAATAACTTAGCTGCCCCTGGACCACTTTCAGCAATTTTATCACGAATCGATCAGAAATATTTCTACGCATAAATAGCAATGCTTCTGGCCAATTATTTTCAACAATAAACTATTGGAAAAGTAGTAATGTCAAGCATTGTCCAATGTACAGATAAATAGTGATAATTTGATAACTGTTTTCATGAAATAAACCTTCTTCCCAAACCCAGTCATCATAATCGAGTACCATTTGGTTTCACATCATTCTGCTTTAACTTGAAAAGATATAAAAGAGCGCTGCTGTCTAGCCTCAACTCATGTTCACATGTTTCGAACCTAGCTCCGATTCCGCTCAACAACCAACAAGCCAATCCTGCGAGTATCCAAATGGTTCCTAACAGTCGGACAGTTCAGCATCGTCTCGCTGCTGCTGCGACCCAGCCAATTCCAGGTTCATCCACCGCCCCTGGTTTATCATACGCTGGTGCTGTCTCAGGTAAACCTGTCGACGATTCTCCGTTCTCCTCGGAGGAACTTGTGACGCTCGTGACCGAGGTCATCAGCATCATGTGCACCTGCAAGACTCGATCTGAACAGTTACATGCTGCCCTGTCCTTTGTCACTAAGTATGGACAGTGAAGCTATCAAGATCGTGAGTTGGAATGCTTATTCCTTGAAGAGCAAAAACATCGAGTTTATTGACTTTCTCAACGAACGGCACATCGACATAGCCGTCATCACCGAGACTCACTTGAAGCCCGAGCTGAACGTCTTCCTTCCCGACTTTCGGCTCGTAAGGCTTGACCGCACCAGCTCCGGGGGAGGGGGAGTGGCCATCGCTGCGAGACGGAACATCAGCTGCCAGCTACTACCAAGCTTCCAGCTGAAAATTATCGAAGCCATCGGAGTTTCGGTGAGCACATCTCTTGGTCCAATCACTATCATTGTGATCTACTGCCCCAAGCAAACCAACATTAGGGACGGCTCGGCCACAGACCTCCGAAGAGACAACATCAAGCTGACACGACGGCGGCAAAATTTCGTCATCGCTGGCGACCTGAACGCCAAGCATCAAGCCTGGGGCAATAGTCGGCGAAACCAGAACGACACAATATTTTACAACGATCTGCAGGAAGCCCACTACAACATCCTGTGTCTGGACACTCCCACCCGGTTGAGTCGATCCGGAGCTCATACCACCATCGACATCTTCATCAGCAACATTGGCGATAAC